GAATACAACTTTACCGATACACTTAATTTCAACAGTCGCTCTTTTTACAAACGTTTTAACAACGAACGTTAACTTCAACAATACTTCTTGACTGCAGTTTAATTACTCACTACCTACACACACATTATTGTCACGTCACGCCGTGACCATCTTATATATACCAGACTACCCTATATCTAGTAAATGCTAGGGTATTCACGAAGGAACAAGATACTTCCAGAAACGTGGCGTAACACTAGTCACGTGACCTCGCTGACGCAACAATATCATTATCATTTAGTTTATGGAGAAAGAGACTGTTAGTTGACATAAATGAGGCAATTGTTGGATAACTATTCTATTTAATTGTTGGAAGGGTGGAAATTCAGCAAGTTGTGTTGAATTATGAAACTGTTTTAATTTTTCTGCGAATTTATAATTCAACTGTCAATGTAAAAATAATTAGTGTTTGTTTTAGCACAAAACTACACAATAGGCTATCTGTGCTCTGTCTACTACAGGGGATCGAAACTCGGATTTTATCGTCGTAAATCCGTAAACTTACCGCTGACCCGCTTAGGGACGTTAATTATTGAAAACTTGATGCGTAAAATTACTGATAAATGCTAGGTTATAATTACAATTTGGAAAATTAAAAATATCGAATTAATAACTAACAAATTTCCATGTTCTTGAGTTTCCTGGTGGATCAGCGGTAAGTTTACCAACTTACAACGCTAAAATCTGAGCTCCGATTCCATGTGGTGGACAGAATACATACAGCCCATTAAGTAGCTTTACACTAAGGAAATAACATCCGAACACCCCTGCAATGATCACTCAGTTTAAGCATTTCAAGACAAGGATTGGATTGTTTTGAAGTTAAGCACAAAGCTACACAATGGGCATCTGTGCTCTGCCCACCACGGGTATCGAAACCCGGTTTCTAGCGTTGTAAGTCCGCAGACATGCTGCTGTGCCACTGGGGATCTTTTCAAGACAATGGAAAAACTAAAATATTAACGAATTATTAAAGTCTTTGGATAAATAATTTTAGGAGATTAGAATAATTAAAAAGAAGACACGTTTTCAATTTTTGAGTTAAGTTTGCTAAAATTGTGCAAAATTAAGATATGTAGCAGTAAGGAAATACGAAGAAAAACAGACTATAAAATTAAATTTGCTTCTTTAAGTAACGAGAGCTATCTTTAATTTGGGAATAACAAACCCACTCTTAACTATTGCCACAACATTGCCTTCGAAATTTGAGACGTGAGCACGCATAGAATTTAATTAACGATCGCTTCGAATAGCAAGAGCATGACAGGTGAAAGGCTTTCTGCGCATGCGTATATTCTACTTCGGTTGTGAAAAGTTTGGATATAGATTAATAAGAAATTATACCTCTGGAATTTATATTTACAGAAAAATGATTATTCATACTTTAGTTAGATGGATATTTGCAGTTTTTTATGGACTTATCGTCTCGATCGTGACTATTTTCAGCATTATTCGCCATGGTAATTCTTATTTTAAGCGTAAAATACGTGACACTACACCAGAAATTTTGCAGGATATTTCGCTGGGAAAACACGCCTGTATCAAGTTGAAGGTAAGATGAAGTACACATGGGCACGATGTTATTATTACTAGTTAGTAAGCGTATCGTTAACATTCGTATTGGTTACTGTTATAACTTATAGTTATATATATAATATTATGTAACGCAAATATACAAAATCCTATAATCTGAGTGCTTTCGGAAGGTGTACATTTCTTCTTCAGGGGAAAACTAGAAAGTAATATATATAGATTATAATATAATTATTCCTTAGAAAAAAAAAAAGTTAGAAGCAGGGCGAAACTTTCGTCTCAAAAGTGTGTGTATGGAGAGGGACATACCGTGAAACTGGGGTATAAAAGCAAAAGAAATAAAATGATTTTTTTTTTTACTTTTTCAAAAGAAATTGTCGGAGCGTTTTCCATACCTCAGTCATTTTGGATATATCCATATATCTGCGTATATTATGTATAGGCTTTTGTTTTATTTGCTACACACTGATTTTGATGTTGAATTCATCTGGTTTTTGCTTTTGCAATATACAAGTTCTGTTGCGGAAACAGAGATTGTCAGTGTCGTCAGAGTGTTTCAAGTCTTCAGTTGTGATATATGTGTATATTATAGACTTTTATTTTCCTTGCTTCATGATGGTTTAGTATCTGTAAGTGCAGTTTAGAAAAAAAAATTGTGAAATCAGTAGTACAATTTTTAAAGAACTACAATTTGTTTATCTTCTGCAACCATAACTTTCACTGTTGTGATCACATTTCATTTTAATTGTTTGTTTTAGAGCAAAGCTACGTTGGGCTATCTACATTGTTCACTGTAGGAAATCGAACCCAGAATTTTAGCATTGTAAGTTTGTAAACTTACCACCACCCCACCAGGGGACCATTTCAGTGCAGTGCCATAAAATATTTTGATTTTT